ACTTGAAATATGACAGGGGAAGAATTACAACTGCAGGAAGATAAGAGGTTGAGGATAAGCCAAGATGGCAGGAGGGGGAAGGGAAAGGAAGAGGCTAAGTTGGCAGAGTAGGGGAGAGATAAGGGAAGAAAGGCTTAGGGTCAGTTGTTCAGAAAGAAAGGCTACAGCCTGATCCTATTACACATACCAGATTCTCCTACAGTTTAGGGTCCTGGGGGAAGAGAGACACTCTGTAGGGCAAGCAAGGGAACAACAGGAGTTATATGAAAACCAATTTTGATCAGAAATAAACCAAATATTTATAATAAAACAAGGCAGGCATAGTGCATCTGCTGCCACATCAAGTGGCTGATTTAGAATGTTCTGAAGATGTATTTCTGTTGTATTTTTTACTGCCATGGGAAAGGAAAAACAGTTCTGGCATATGGGCTATAATAATTGATTGTGGGGTTTATCTGCTTTAATGGAACTTCTACAAGAAAATAGCCCTATGGATAGGATCTAGGCTTGTAGAAATATCCTGACATGTTTTGTCAGGAGTCAATCTGTTTCCCCACTGGTTTTTTTTTGGGGGGGGGGTTCCCCCAAAACTGGAGACTCACTAAATTGTGTATTCCTAGAAAAGTTAGTTGAATTTAATTTTCTTGACCAATCTGTCTAGTTGATTTCACATGGAAATAGTTCCATCTGTCTTTAATTTGGATCTAACCCAGTGTTCATCATAATGAGTAATTGAATAAAATATGTATCATTTTAATTTTATTTTTAATTTCAAAAAGATTGAAGTGCTTCTTAAGAGTGGACTACAACTGCTAGATGTTTAAAACTATATACTCATCCCACTATATACAAATACAACAGTGTATTAAACTAGTTATTTTAATATTTAATCAATCTTAATTTCATACTTGTTTAATAATTGAATCATAATTGCATATTATCCAACCCAAAGTTTATATTCTGATAGTACTGGATTGCCTCTAAGATCCTCATCCCACCTCTCCAACAGGCATGGAAGATTCCAAGGTAACATTATCAGTAATTAAAATGCAATCAGTGTTGCTTTCAGATCTGTTTGGTAATGGCCCCTAAATTTAGCATAATTATGTCCAGCCTCCTTCTTTTCCAGTCTAAATTCTGAGCTTTCCAAATAAATCTTTACACCAAATAAATCTTTACACCAATGTGTGAAAGACTGTCTTTGCACAGAGGTGCCCCGGAGAAAGAAAGGATTCGTAATGGGCCTTCTTTGTTAAAGAAAAGGGGCGATTATAAGTGTGGAAAGCATCTGCATTCAAAGAGTTCTTTTAAAGAGCCAAACTCCTTCTTTCTCATTTACAAGAGATTATAGGAAGGTAAAGAGAAGGCAGAGGAGAGCTAGTGTGATGTAGTGGTTAAGACATCTGGCTAGAAATTGGGTGATTGTGAGTTCTACTACTGCTTTAAGCACAAACCCAGTTGGGTAACTTTGGGACAGTCACCTTCTGCCAGTCTTAGAAAAGAGGTAGTGGCAAACAATTTCTAAAAAGCTTTGCCAAGAAAAGTGCAAGAAGTGTCCAGTGTTTCAGTCTCTGAAAAATTAATGCAAGAGGATGGGGAAAGAAGAGATTTAGGTTGGCTAGTAATAAAGATTTTTGAAGGAGTTCTTTATTAGACATATACTTATTACCACTTTAAAAATAAAAGTATAAGGAGGATAAAAAAGATAAGCAAGAGAAATACCTTTTACTTGACCCATCAGTTTTTATATCATTGCAATAAACGTAGGAGCTCTATGGCAGATTCAACTCAGTAGCCATCAATGGGTACAGTACTTCTGTAATTCCAAGGCTTGGTGGTGCTTTCAGCATTTGAGGAATTGTATGTGTTTTTTCCTCACTGTTTCCACATTACTTTCCCTTTTGACTCATCAGTATTGCAAAGATCCATGCCATAAGGGAGTGACAATTAGGAGTAGTTTCAGGCTGCTATGCTCTGGATTGTAAAAGAACTGTTGCAAAGCAACAGACTGTTTTATTTAATCAAGAATTGGGTCCAAATTCTAAATCACTGTCATCTATGCATAGCATCACAATCAGATACTCTGAATCGGAATGCAGAAATTAAATTTTAAAAGATTATAAGAAATAGGTGATATTTCTTATTGATTTCTCCATTCTGATGATATAAGGCCTATTGAACTTTCCCAACATTCTTCCAAAAGATACATTGGGGTTGCATGGAAAACTTTCCAGGACATACAGCTAATGATGATGGATGCTGAAAATCATAGCTCTACATTTGGAACATTATCCATTCCGATTGAAATAAATTGGTATTGAAGAAAAATAGTCATTTCTCCTATCAAAGTATTGCAAGAAGGGAATAATCTATGCTATACTGTTTTGCTTTGATCAGATAGGTCATGTCATTTATAGTCACTGCTACTTATATTCATAGATTGTGTCACTTTTCTATGCCCTTCTGGATGAGAGACTCAACTCATTTACTTCAATATATTCTGGACATAGTTCCAACACAGTTCCACTGTCCTTGAGTCCTATTTTTTTAATGACTAGGAATGGCAACAAGGATAAGGAAGTCTTGTATTTTGTAGAACATATGTTGCATATACTGCTATTTCTGTTCCAGAGAAGAGCCTGGGTTTGGGCAGGCACTCATTGATCTTCTACCCTTAGTATTAACCCTGATTGTCCCCTTGATCAGTGATCACAATAGATTTAAGGTATCCTTAATTACATGAAAATAACATTCAAGTATGTGAAAAAATATTAAGCTTCACCACCAAATATTTGACTTGTAGTCCAGTGAGTAGTCCTTGATGCTCTCTGAGCTTGGTTGTTTTCTTGCAGACTTTTCATTACTCAAACTGGATAACATCATTGGTGCTAGCACCATCTGCAAGAAAACAATCACACTCAGATAACACCCTTCATCTCAACCCTGACTTCAAAATATTCTTCTTTATTGGTATATAGTCCAGTGACCAGTAATGCGTGGGATCAGAACAGTTAACCATTTCCTCCAATCTCTGTAGTCTTCTTAAACAGCCAGAGCCAACAGCACAATTATGTTTAAATGAAGGACAATAATGCTGAGCAATCAGCCAATCACTTTGCTTATCAAATCAGAAGAGATGTAATAGAGAAAGAAAATTTCACGTGGCAAAGTATAGTTTCAATTTATGGTTAGATGGCTAATCCTAGCACAGCATAAAGATGCAAGTTGCTCTGCCTAACATTGCTCCTAAATACTTTCCATTCTAGCTTTCACTTTTCCTCTCTTACTCCTCTTTGCACTTCCAGTCCAAGACCTACTTAGTATTCCCACCCCATTCATAGACATGGGCCCTACTGCAGTTTTGGCAATTAGCATCAGTGATACTGGTCTGGTTAAGAGTATATTTTCTTTTTTCTTTTTTGAGTTTGAAATAATTTTTGAGATGCTGTCAAGCTAGGCTGCACTTGTATTTGGCATCAGGGGCATTTGGTATTTGGAAGCTCTCTACAGTGTTGGAGCATTTGACTGTACAGGTTTGTATTAAATCAAAATACTTGATTGTAGTCAGACTAATTATAATCTGTATTAACAGCAGTATTGCATTCAAATTACAGGAGGTAACTTCAATTGTAGTCTGTTTTGGTTAGACCACACCTGAAGTACCATGTCCACTTCTGGCCATTGCATTTTAAAAGGGACACAATGAATCAGGAATCATTTTAGGGGAGAGCTGTCAAAAAAGAAAGGGAGTTGGAATGGACAGCCATGCTCTATGAAAAGTGAAGAAAGGAATTGGACATATGTAGTTTGCAGACTAGAAGACCAAAAATAAATAGGCTAACCATGTGTCAATATCTAGAAGGCTGTTAATGGGGTAGACATGTTTTTCTTTGAAACCCAAAACAGGACAAATACAATAAAAGTTAAAAGAAAGAAGATTCAAGATGAATGCTAGGAAATTTACCTAATGGTAAGGAATGTTAACCCATGAAACAATAAGCCTAAACAGGGATGGAACAAATGTTTTCCACAGAAGCTGGATGATTACCTACATCCCCTCCCTCCTTTCTCATCACAGAGGCTAATATTATTTAATCTGAAGGAACTAATTTGGAAAACCTCAGGTTGTTATATAAGGAAATAATACAGACAGAAAGGCCTCTAAGCCTGCCACACATGTAGTTTTGTTTATTGAAGAGCAATGATAACAGAACATTCCCTCCTCTATCTCACTCATTACACTAGCCAGAAAAGATATGGGGGAGAAATAATCTTTCTACCTAGATAGTAACAACTGTTGTGAGTTGTAAACAGAGGCCTTCCCTAAACAAAATACCAGGGAGTTTAAAAAACAAAAGAAGCATAGGCAATGGGGGTGGGGAGGGGGACCTGTGAAGCACATTAGCGTGTGTTCCAAGCGGGGGTGGGGTGTGTGTGTGTGTGTGTGTGTGTGTGTGTGTGTGTGTGTTTTGGTTGGAAATTGTTTTCAGAAGGAAGGGATAGCTGACTTTATACGCTATTTATTAAAATTTGGGAAGAGGGAGGGAGTTGAGTTTGCCGCACAACGAAGGTAATGTGCCTGCTAATAATTTAATTATGACTGGAGGTGAGTAATGATAATCCAAGGTAAATTATTTCTCCTTTAAAACTGCCACAGGACACCATAGCAGGGAGAAATCTGGTTTTCGGTTCGTGATCTCGTTATTCCTCCCCCACCCCACCCCGAAGTGGCTGACCAATCCCAGGAAGGAAGGAGGGGACGAGGGTTGGTCCCTGGATTTGAATCTGATTGGGCGACAATAAATTTTGGGAAGGGGTTTAGGCATCTCTTTGATGGAGATGCAAGCGGCCGGGCGGGAGGAGGGGAGGAGGGAAGGGGCCGGCCTGGAATTGATTAAGTTGGGAGGAGAAAGAGGAGAAGGCTGGGCGAAGCTCAACTCAGCCCGGGGGCCCTCCTTTGAAACAGACTAATTGGGGAGGGAAGACACAAAGGGAAGCGAAAGGCGCTTGGAGAGACGCGCGGCGAGGAAGAGTTCCCGCTGGGTGAGTGGAGTTTTGCCTCCCTCAGCTCTCCGAGGCTGATCCCAAAAAGTTTTGCCAGAACTAGGGTCCCCGAAGCAAGTGACAGATACCAGCTCGTCCTGGGGAGGAGACAAAAGCGCTCGGGTATCCGTAAGAGCTGACGGGGAGCAAACCACCATGCGCTTTGCCGACGCGTCTTTGGCCCGTTGCCTGCTGCTGCCGTTGCTCTTGGGATCCTGCTGGGCCCAATTCCACGGAGAGAAGGGCATTTCTGTCCCCGACCATGGCTTCTGCCAGCCTATTTCCATTCCGTTGTGCACTGACATTGCATACAACCAGACGATCATGCCCAATTTGCTGGGACATACCAGCCAAGAGGACGCTGGCTTGGAGGTCCATCAGTTCTACCCTCTGGTGAAGGTCCAGTGCTCCCCGGAGCTCAAATTCTTCCTCTGCTCTATGTATGCCCCTGTGTGCACTGTCTTGGAGCAAGCCATTCCACCTTGCCGATCCATTTGTGAGAGGGCACGCCAAGGCTGCGAGGCCCTCATGAACAAATTTGGCTTCCAGTGGCCAGAACGACTGCGCTGTGAGAACTTCCCCCGCCATGGGGCAGAGCAGATCTGTGTAGGACAGAACCATTCAGAGGAAGGTGGCTCTCCAGCATTGATTACAAGTGCCACTCCAATTGCTGGACAAGGTACTGCTGGGCCACCACGTTATGCCACTCTGGACCACCCTTTCCACTGCCCACGAGTCCTTAAAGTGCCCAGCTACCTCAACTACAAGTTTCTTGGGGAGAAAGACTGTGCGGCACCATGTGAACCCACCAAGAATGATGGGCACATGTTCTTCAATCAAGAGGAGATTCACTTTGCACGTATCTGGATTCTCATCTGGTCTGTTCTGTGCTGTGCCTCTACTTTCTTTACTGTCACTACCTATCTGGTGGACATGCAGCGCTTTCGCTATCCAGAACGACCCATCATCTTTCTCTCTGGCTGTTACACCATGGTCTCTGTAGCCTATATTGCAGGATTTGTATTGGAGGAACGGGTGGTGTGCAATGAACGTTTCCAAGATGATGGTTATAGGACAGTGGTGCAGGGTACCAAAAAGGAAGGCTGCACCATACTTTTCATGATGCTGTACTTCTTCAGCATGGCCAGCTCCATCTGGTGGGTCATCTTGTCCCTCACTTGGTTTCTTGCAGCTGGCATGAAGTGGGGTCATGAAGCCATTGAAGCCAACTCGCAATACTTTCACTTGGCAGCCTGGGCTGTGCCTGCTGTCAAAACGATCACCATCCTGGCCATGGGGCAGATTGATGGTGATCTCCTCAGTGGTGTCTGTTTTGTGGGGCTTAACAACATAGACCCACTTCGGGGCTTTGTTTTAGCTCCCCTCTTTGTCTACCTCTTCATAGGCACCTCATTTCTTTTGGCAGGCTTTGTGTCACTTTTCCGTATCCGTACCATCATGAAACATGGGGGCACCAAAACAGAGAAGCTGGAGCGTCTCATGGTGCGCATTGGGGTTTTCAGTGTCCTCTATACGGTGCCAGCCACCATTGTTATTGCTTGTTACTTTTATGAACAAGCCTTCCGTGAGCACTGGGAGCGGAGCTGGATTAGCCAAAACTGTAAGAGTTTGGCCATTCCATGTCCACTTCAATACACCCCACGCATGACCCCTGACTTCACTGTCTACATGATCAAGTATCTCATGACGCTGATTGTGGGCATCACTTCAGGTTTCTGGATCTGGTCTGGGAAAACCCTTCATTCCTGGAGGAAGTTTTATACCAGGCTAACTAACAGCAAACATGGGGAAACTACAGTTTGAGAAGAGAAATGGAGGAAGAAGATTGCCAGCTCCAGAATTTCAAGAAAACACCAGATCTGCCTGCATCTCCCTCCTTGAGCTGATTCTGTTTGTATGTATGAGGAGATGTTCTTTGGAAAACCTCCCTGCAATTTGGGAAATGGGGCTTCTTTACTACATAAAGCTGAAAACTCCTCTGACAATCGGAGAGGCAAAAAAGAAAAACAAAGGAGAAAAACCCCCCAAGTATTTAAAACTCTCTCATTTTAATTAAAACAAGTTCTAAACTTCTTTGCTTTAGGTTTTTAATTAACTATTAAAGGGTGTCTTTTTGTAATTAAAATTGTAAATAGCATTTGTAAATTTAATTATATATTTCTATTTAAAAACAAGTAAGAGAACAGCAGCAAGGACGTTATTTTTCAGAAAAAGTATGGAGGGGTCAAAGAAAGAAAAACTATTTTTTTCATCCTCTTTTCTTTGAATTCTATTTTTTACCCTTTTTCCTTTTCTTTCTCTCTGGAGCCAGGAGTGTGTGCTGTTTAGGTTGGCCCTTAATAGGCTATTTTTGCCTAAGTTTTTCACCAGAGCCAGGTTTTGTATCACTCCCAGCACCCAACCCACCTTAAACATCTTCCATCAACTAAACTCCCTTTTGCAAGCTACAGTTTTTGATAGATTTCCAGGAACACTTCTTTCCATCTCTTTTTTTCTTTTCCAGGTTGAAAGTTTGGCAAGCAATCTTCTGTCTGTGAAAAATATATTTGGGGTGGGTTGGGGGAAGATGGCTGAGCCTTCTCGCCTTTGCTGAAATTTGGGCCTTGGCTGTGCAGATTTTCTTATGTTTATTTCTTTTAGAGAATTATGACCTCCAAGAAAGTTTTTCTTGCCTTAAGCCGCAGAATTCTCTTTGTTACATTTGTATGTTTCTATTTTTTCCTAGATGTTTTGTACAAAAGGTAGCTTTTTAAAAATGACATTTCCTTTATTAAACAAACTTGTTCTTTGCAAATTCAGTTTGAGTATTTTTCAAAAGCAGCAGCGGCCGTCTCCAAAGCAATTTATTTGTGAGCTATCCACTTAGCTTTTAGAAAGTAACTAAAAACTACAATTGATATTTCACAGCGCAATATCCATTTGCTTGAAGAGAAGGATCTTAAAAAAACTTTTTTTAAAAAAAGGGATATGCTTGGTGGCATTTTAGAAAGTTTAAGGGGAATTTATTTCAATTGAAAAGTACTGTGTTTGAGAAGCATAAGAAGCTTATTTTACCAGTTTTTCCCAGTATAGGAGAAAAAATTCTACATTTCTGTCTTCTACTATTTTCTTCTTTTGAAGATGCATACTTTTCTCAACTTCTATTACAGTTCTTAAGAACTTTCATATATGTTTGGGTAACTTCTATAAATGCCTCTTACAGGAAAATAACAATTTATTATTCAATAAAACAACTGTAGCAAAAAAAGCAATATATTCAATGAAAAAGCATTAAATCTAAACTATTTTTTTTCTAAATCAACTGTCTCTGATTTGGAATTGATTTCTGACAACACTAAGGAACAATCTCAGTCTAAGGTTTCCATGAAAATCACTGCAGATAGATTAACTTCTTATCATGTTTTATGAAAAAAGCATTAGAAAAAACTTGGTGAAATTCTTTATTGAGTTCTTGCATATGATGACTGCACACGTATGCATTTTGCATCAGTTATGCAAACTGTGAAAAGATATGGCTGCTGTAATTCTCTTTTTACTCCCAATATATTGAGAATTTTGGCAAGCCTGTATCATTTCATTGAAATCTTAACAATCGGATCCTGAGCATTTTTTATCAGAATTAAGAATTGCTCTCAAAATTATTATAATAGAAGAAATGTTTTTTAAAATTTAGTGTTTCCATTTGAAAAAATGATTGATCAGTATTCTAAATAATATATTTCTAACAGTTCACTTCTTTAATTTTTCAGAATATTTGAATTGGGGTGGAATTGGAATCCGCTGGAACTATTTATAAAGAAACACAAAATGATATTTTTGAGTTAAAGTTTCTAAAAGGCTTTACTGAAGCCGCTCTAGTGCTACCTAGAAGTTAGCTAGTAAATTCCATCCATTTCTCTAGCATGATAACCACTCTTTGCAATGAGTCTAAAGATGAAATAGGATGCTAAAGAATATATGGAAGAAGTTTTAAAAAAAAGGAAACCTATTGTTGCACAAATCTTTTTGAAAAGCTCCCATTAAATTTCAAAAATTTCCCCCTGTGGCAGACTCTGATGGCCTCTCCTGCCTCCTGCCCTTGGCAAATTGTCATTCTTAAGACTGCTTTTGTGTTGCTAATGGTTTTGGTTGCTTTCTTGTGTCATTTGGTGTGAAGTTTTAAAACTTTGAAAAGAAATAAATAATTTCCTCCTCCTTTTCCATCAAAAAGGAAACAATTTGGATGGGTGAGGAAACAATAATGCAAAATGGGATTTTTAATACTAGGGGTAAGCGGAGGGAGGAAGTAAGAAAGGAAGTAAGTAAGTAATCTTGCATTTTAAAAAGTGATGGAAATGGAAACCTCTATTTTTCTTCTTAACACTGCTTGCATGTTGCGTGCGCGCACACACGCACAGCACACACACACACACACACACACACACACACACACACACAGTCTTTCTCTTCATCAGAGAAAAGAGTGTGGTTTAAAGCCCCAAATCAAAGGGTGACTAAAGTGAACCAGATGGACCCTGGAATGCAATAAACATGTGTCCACCTAGGACAAAATAAATAAATAAAGCACATTCTATCTGGTTTTATTTCTAAAAAAAAAACCCCAGTTATTGTGTAACACAACACTGCATATGGTTTGTACTTGAGTGTTGCCTACTATGCAATGAAGCATGTCAATATCTCTGTTATTTCCAGTTACAGTGTTTTGCCTTCTACCATAATACTGGGTTTTCCCAAAAACATCTGGTGACAAGAGGTTGTAAATTAGAGGTGTTTTCCGCAGATTCCAGTAGAGCTCCTGAATTCAAGAACAACATTTTGTCCAAAGCTTTCAACTACAGATGTGTCTTCCCCTCCCCCCCACTTTTTTTTCTTTTGTGGGTATGAGACTGGGGCATTTTTCTCCCCCCATTAACTTATCAAGATCCAGATTTTGGGTTTTCTAGCTCATATTAAAATTCATATTAAAACTCAATTTAGATGGCATCAGTGGCTGTGCAAAAGGATAAAGCTCTAAGTTCTGTTATCATGCTTTTTTCCATTTTTTAAAATAGCCGATTATATCTACATGGTTCTCTCTTTCCCCCCCCCCCCCCCCCCCCCCACAGCATTTCCTATAAACCTGTCTTATGAACCCTGTAAATACATCAACAGATGGATCTCATTAGTCCCCTTTTTGGCAAAGGTCTTTCAGCTGCTTGCCCCACACAAGCAGGGACTACACCCAAACTTTTAGTAAACCCCCTCCCCCTTTCTGTGTCCTCTGGACAGAACATTGCAACGTGGACCTAGGAGAGTTGAGCTCCCTCTGCCAAGGAATGTTGGGGCCATGGGTTTATCTCCCCCCCCTTTTGTTCTTAATTTAATCCTTCTGGTTTTAGAAGCCTATGGAAAAGAAAGACCATCTCATGTCAGAATGGCTTATGTCTTTTCCACATATGTGTGCATTTTAACAAATATCTAAAATTCATTTATTTCTCTCTCCCGCCCCTCCCTTCCAGCTCCTTCATGTTTACCCTCTTTCCAGGTCAGTTTGACTTTTTCAACCCTATCCTCTTTTGGCTCCCTTGCCCCCTTTTTGTTTGCAATGCTAATTAAGAAGGGGGGGAGGGAAATAAACTTTTGTTACCTTTTCAGAAGCTAGCATGTTTTTTTAAAAAAAAATCAATTTAACTTTAAAAAAATGAATCGATCTTTGACTCCTATCCTTCCCTCCTCCCCAAAGCATGTTGCATTTTTACATTCCCACTTAAAGTTGACATACAGGCTTTGAAATGGAGATTTCTTCCCCCAGTGAAGCAGAGGCCTGCTTAACACATTAAGAATCCCAGCTGCTAGGGAATGAGAGCAAAGAGGTTTGATCTGTGCAGGGTGGATTCCTCTCCTCTTCCCACCCCCATTGAAAAGACAAGAGTGTGGGGGTTGTTCCCTGCAATAAACTGTTACAGACCTAGAGCTATTTAGAGGGGGGGGGGATAGAATATGAAATTCCTTTGCGGCAGACGGGAAGGCTGTCCAGTCGTGCAGACAAAAAAGCCTTCTTTAAATGACTCACAGTTGCAAAGAGTCAACCAGTTCTGTTAAATGAAATAGCATAAAGGAGGGGTTGGTGAACAACTGGATTCCTAACCAGGCTTCAGTTCCAATTCCTTTCAAGACAGGCTTCTTATGAGTAGAGCAGCTGCCATGCCTGACTCTTACCTCCCCAATAAAGCCTCAATTCTGCAATCCTCTGGCTTCATGAGACTTCAATATGTGTTTAAGGGGCATTGCAATATTATTTGTGTAAAGTCAGACAGGGACCCAAGAGTAGCCAGTAAGGATTTTAATTTTCAAAGTCTGGGTAAGCAGAAAATTCATCTCATCAAGCCAGCTTGGTTAACTCCTATTCAACAAAGCTGATCAGAATTTTCTGAATGAATGCAAAAATCCAGTTTTCCCTGGAATATAGGAATGCATAATGCAGGATAAAGGCAGGCATAATGTCAACTCAAGATTGTTCACCCAACTGCTGTGCTTGGCCTTGATGGAAATGACAGGTGTGCATACCAGCATTTGAGCTCTGCCTGAATGTTGTTCAGTCCTCTCCTATGCTTTAGGTGGATCTTCCACCTTGATAAGAACTTTTTAAAAGCTTTACATGAATATTGCAAGTGCTAAATAAATGTATTTTAAAATGCAAAATAAAGGATTATCATATCTTGATAAGTGAGGCAGAATTGCGGCAATGCCGGGAAATTCCCAGCCACGTACTTGCAGCTGCCTTCTGATTAAAACTAGCAAAACTATTTTTTCTTCTCAGGGTATAGCCCTGATGATGAATTAATGGATATGACCAAATGCTTCCAGAGTAGCCTCATTACTGTACAAACATTACATCTTTCATCACTGACAGAGAAAAGTAACCTTTCATTCACTATTGAGTAGTGTTGTAACATATATGGGGTTAGGAAGAATGTCGCAAGGCATTATTACTATAGGACAATGGTGTCAAACATGCGGGCCAGATGTGTCACGTGCTGGCTCTGCCCCGCTCAGTTTAGCGAAGGGGGGGAAAGTCCTGATACGTCATGTGACGCTGCCATGACGATGCGAGTTTAACACCCCTGTTGTAGGAGAATATGTACCTCCTCCTAATTATAGATGGCCTCTTCATGGCCCATGCTCTCCATCTGCATTAGACTGCAGGTCCCATGACCCCTAATTGGTACAACATTTAGATCCTAAAAAGCTCTTCTTAAAAAAAAACTCCAAAACAAGAATACCCCTACCTTTGGTGTATCTGATTGGCTATAAAACATCCATTTAGGGATCCATAATGTGGCACTAAATGGACCCTTGGTTTGGTTTAGTAGGACTGCTTAGATTCTTACATATTGCTAAACTTTCAAATGTTGCGCCTGTTTTTTGCCCTCCCCAGGCTCCAGAGGCTTTCCTGAAGCCTGGGAAGGGTGAAAAACAGCCCAACGGGCAAACAGGAAATTCATTCCTAAACTTATGGTTGGGCCATTGGGCTGTTTGTCACCCTCCCCAGGCTTCAGGAAAGCCTCTGGAGCTTAGAGATGGCGAAAACAGGCTCAATGGGTCAACTGGAAGTTCGTTTCCGAACGAACTATGCACACGCACAGTTTTGGCACACCTTTAAAAAAAGGTTAGCCATCATTGGTGTGTGTGTGTGTGTGTGTGTGTATCCCCTAATGTACCAGTTATTAAATTATTTGATTCCCACGACTGCATGAAGACCAAGCAGGCTTTCTGCTGAAAAAACAATGTGAGGACTGTCTTAAATATTATTGA